CGTTGTTTTTAGCTCTGGCGCCTGCGCTTCTAACTTTTCGAGTTAGGCTTCTTGGTCCAGCTGCAGCCGTGCCCAGATCATCAGGGTATTCAGAACATCCAGGTAAACGGTAAAGATGGCGAATCCCACCGCTGCCACCAATTTGTTGCGCCTACTATGGTAGCGGTAGGCGCTGCGTATAGATTCGGGATTCGCCGTGCTGGTCAAGGGGGCTTTGGCTCGGAGAGTGTAGAATAATTAAGCACTTCTGAATATATATATAGAATAGCTTTTATTTGGTATCTTCTTATTACACTTGTCACCTCACTTATTCGGCGACCGTACTACCGTGGTTACGCGTGTACGCGACGTGTCGTGCTTCGTCCGGAACTTTGCTGATAAAAACCCGCGGCGCCTTGTGTGCCGCCTTAATTTATACGGATCAGTATTCGGAACACAATGAGACTTGAACTATATCGATCCATTGTGTTACCAAAATGCTGATCTGTTTAACCTACTTTAGACGCAAGTGACACTCGGGCTTCTAAGAACGAGTGCTCGCGTCAGCGCCTAATTGTTTAATAATTAAATAACTTTTGTCACAGGATTCTCGAGAAGTGGCCTCGATTAATGGCCTTCTAAATGTTTATTATTGTTATTGCCTAATTAACCTATAATTATTACGTTGTGGTCTTTCGACACACAACACAGCGTCCGACGAGGAGCGACGGACATGCGGTTACTTCAAGGATCAGGAATTTCTGGCTGCAGAGGAGGCCTACCACGAGGCGGTTGATCATCTCCACGAGGCGTTTGGCAAGTTTAGTGGACCACAAGTAGAATATAAGAATACGAGTACCGACTCGTCTTGTCGCGACGCGACCGCTGCGGCTCTCATGCAGTTGCCACGCATCAATCTGCCAAAATTTAACAGAAAGCTCACGGAATGGGCGAATTTCAAAGGTATTTTCGAAACCTTAATTGCCGATAACGATTCTTTGACAGCCATTCAGAAGCTGCACTATCTGTAGGCGTGCGTCGCGAAAGACGCCGCCCGATCAATTAATAACATTCAAATTTCCGAATCGGGATACGATGCGGCATGGCGACTGCTAGTGGATGAATACGACAACTCGTTCGCGATAGTGACCGCGCACATACGAGCGTTCGCGGACATGCCTGCCATGCGTTCCGAAAGCGCCGCCGAGCTGAAAAATCTTCGCGACACCGCGTCTGCCTCGCTTGCTGCACTCGCGTGCATGGGCCGTCCCGTCGACACGTGGGACGACCTGCTCGTTTATATAATTTCCCGAAAATTTAGCGATAGCACGCGGCGTGAGTGGAACCTCCGGCGTGGAGATTTCAAGGATTGTCCGACTTATCGCGATCTTTCAGATTTTATGACGAATCGAGTTCGCGGACTAACGGCACCGCCAAAATATACGGAAGGATCGACTCCTTCCGCGCGAAATGAAAGACTTCGTGGATCGGTTCATACAGTGAATAGCGGTAAATGCGCGAAGTGCGTCGGAACTCATGCGTTGCACAAGTGCCCCTCGTTCCTAAGCCAACCGATTGATTCGCGATGGCAAACCGTCAAAAGGCATAAGTTATGCTGCAATTGTTTGCGAAACGGGCATTTTTCGTCAAAGTGCCCCACGACGTCGCGTTGCTTCCGATGTAAGCGCGCGCATCACTCTACGCTGCATCGCGACACGGCTCCGTCAAGCGAACCACACGGAACAACGTCCGCTTCCGACGTTGTTAAGCCCGCGAATCAAGACGATTCAAAGAACTCAGAGGCTGCGACAGTGCAGTCCGTCGCACCGGAACCGTCCGGTCCCGGTGCTGTTTTACTAGCGACCGCGTGGGTTAGCGTAAAGACCGCGGAAGGTCGCACCTTCCAAACACGCGCGCTACTCGACCAAGGGTCGACCTTCAGCTTCATCTCGGAAGCTTTCTGTCAGTTATTGCGAACCAGACGGTATCAAGTAAATTTGCCGATTCGATGTTTTGGGGAGAAATACAGCGGCTCAGCGCGCTCGTGCGTTCAATTGAAACTTTCATCGCGCTTCGCGGATAAGCCCGCTTTCTCTCTTCTCGCGTACTCATACCAAAGAATCACGGCGTACGCGGCTTCCCGCATGCGACCGCTTCACGAGTGGTCGCATTTGCGCGATCTGCAGCTGGCAGATCCGGATCCGTCATCCCGCCATCCAATACATCTATTGATAGGCGCGGATCTGTACGGAACATTGCTTCGCAATGATTTGCGTCAAGGGCCTACAGGCTCTCCGACCGCTCAAGCCACCGCTCTCGGGTGGATCATCTCGGGGCCCACAGGACCGACCAGGTCTTCTGTCGCGGCCGCCGCAGTAAATAATGTTACTTCGGATGCTCCTATCGACGTTCTGCTTCAGAGATTCTGGACGGACGAGGACATCCCGTCGTCGTCCTCTCGGTTGACAGCCGACGAGGAGAAGTGCGAAAATTTCTTTCTCGCGACTCACTCGCGAGACGATTCCGGCCGTTACACGGTCCGGCTTCCCTTCAAAACGGACACGCCGCCTGAAATCGGTGCGTCCCGCGCGATCGCCGAGCGGATGCTCGTCCGACTCCAGTCGCGATTAAAGCGACATCCCGAGATTGCGACAGAGTACGCTCACTTCCTGACGGAGTACGAAAACCTCTCGCACTTGGAGATGGTTCCGCTCAGCGAAGATCCAACGCGTCTGCCGGTGTACATTCCGCACCACCCCGTGTTGCGGGCAACAAACACGACTACCAAGTTACGGGTAGTCTTCAACGCTTCGTGTCGTACGTCGAACGGCACGTCCTTGAACGACCATCTATTGATCGGTCAGAAACTTCAACAAGATCTCGCTGCAATCCTCTTGCGATGGAGAATGTTCAAGGTGGTTTGCTCTGCGGACATCGAGAAGATGTTCCGGCAAATCCGCATTCATACGCTTGACGCTGATTATCAGCGTATATTGTGGCAGCCGCCGGGCGCAGAATCACCACACAGTTACCGTCTTCTTACGGTTACCTACGGCACCGCGTCAGCGCCATACTTGGCGATGCGCGTACTACGTCAGCTAATGGCTGACGAGGGATCACGATTTCCTAAGGCCGCCGCGGTGTTAGACAAATACATCTACGTAGATGATGTGCTCATCGGAGCGGATACCGTCGCGGAGCTCATCGAGACACGCGATCAGCTGATTGCAATGATGAATTGTGGCGGATTTCCGTTACGTAAATGGAGCGCGAACACACCGGACGCACTTCGGGATCTACCCGCCGAAATCATTAACGCGAAACAGCTGTCCTTCGAGGAAACCGGAATACAAAAGATTCTCGGGTTGACATGGCAGCCGCGCGACGATTTCTTTCAATTCACGGTCACTGACGATCGGAATGAGTCAACGACGAAACGATCAGTACTATCATGTGTCGCCAAATTATACGACCCACTCGGATGGGTCGCGCCGGTCGTAATCACCGCGAAAGTTCTTATGCAAGAACTGTGGTTAGCTCGGCTTGAATGGGACGATCCACTCCCGACGGACATTCAGACCAGATGGGTCGATTATCGCGAACAACTCACGCAATTGTTCGAGATCCGAATCCCACGGTGGGTCGGGCGTCATCACGAGAACTTAGGGGTAGAGATTCACGGGTTTGCGGACGCTTCCACGCGCGCCTACGCGGCCGCCGTCTACCTTCGTGTCATTCATAGCTTCTCTGAAATTCGCACGCACTTACTCGTCGCGAGGACGAAAGTCGCGCCGATTAAAACAATCAGCATACCTCGATTGGAGTTGAACGCGATTGTGTTGCTGAGCCGACTAATCACGTGGGTCTCAACGGCGCTCGATTACGGATACGTTCCCCGATACGGATGGACCGACTCCACCGTCGCCCTAGCGTGGGTGTCACAACATCCTTCGCGTTGGAAAACATACGTGGCGAATCGCGTGTCAGAGATTCAATCGGTCAACCCGACGATAAAATGGAATCACGTCCCGTCAGAGCAAAACCCAGCTGATTGTGCGTCTCGAGGAATTTCTACGAGCGATCTCAAGACACACCCCCTGTGGTGGAATGGCCCTCTGTGGCTTCGTCAACCCTCCCCCGCTTGGCCAGATCAAACCAAGCGTGAAGGCGCTACCCGCACTATTCTGACGGAAGCCGCTCGCGCCTCCGTTCAGCATGTAAACGGGGATCCAGAGTGGGATCTTCCAGACACTTACTCGACATGGACTTTACTCGTTCGCGCTACCGCGAACGCTAAAAAATTCATTGCCAAATTAAGGGCGCGACATACAGCGCACGGAAACTTTGAATCAACTCTCACGTGCGAAGAACTGAAGAACGCGGAGCTCTTCTGGTTAACTACCGTGCAGACCTCACAATTCGCTCTCGAATTAGAGTCGCTGCAAAAAACTGGCTCGATCCATCGCTCCAGTCGTTTGAAGGCTCTTCAGCCTTTCATTGGGGAGGATAAACTGCTCCGTCTCGGCGGGCGATTAGAACGCGCCTTTCTTAGTTACGCCGAAAGGCATCCTATTATTTTAGCCGATCATAGGGTCGTACGCCTGCTCATTAGTAAGGCTCATAAAGTGACATTGCACGGCGGGACGCAATTAACACTCCGCGTTCTCCGCCAACAATATTGGATCATCTCCGCTCGTTCGCTAGTGAAACAGCACATTCGGAACTGCGTTATCTGCGTGCGTAACCGTGCGAAACCGTTAAATCAGAAAATGGCGGCCCTTCCGGCACGCCGCGTTAACCCGGCTCCACCGTTCTCCAGCGTCGGTCTTGATTATGCCGGTCCATTTCTTGTAACCACGCATGCAGCGCGCGGTCAGCGCACTTACAAGCACTTCGTAGCAGTATTCGTCTGCTTCGTCACTAAGGCCGTTCACTTAGAATGTGTGGAAGACTACTCCACCTCAGCGTTTTTAGCGGCCTTTTCTCGTTTCACTAGCCGACGTGGACTCCCGACTCATGTCCATAGCGACAACGGCACGAATTTCCAAGGCGCTGACCGCGAACTGTATCGAGCATGGAAATCGATAAATAACGACGAAGAGCTGCGAGCGTCTGTCGTTAATGACAAAATTTCTTGGCACTTTTCTCCTCCCGCCGCGCCGCATTTCGGCGGCCTGTGGGAAGCGGCCGTGAAGGGCTTCAAACTCCACTTTTTAAACGTCATCGCGGGCGCGCGCACGCTCTCGCGCGCGGAGTTCGTCACCTTGCTATGCAAAATAGAAGCGTGTTTGAACTCACGACCATTGGCCGCTCAGTCTGACGATCCATCGGATCTTGCCGCGATAACGCCCGGTCATTTTCTAATAGGCTGACCGCTCCTCGCCGTGCCGGAGGAATCTGTCGCCGGAGCGAATCCCGGAACGTTATCGCGATGGCAGCATGTCCGCGAAATGGAAGAGTCATTTTGGCGTCGCTGGTCGCAGGAATATCTGCACTCGCTGCAGACGCGATCCAAATGGACGGACGCGCAAGCCAATGCGCGAATCGGCGAGCTTGTCCTCCTCAAGGACAAATTACTTCCACCTACGCAGTGGAAACTCGCGCGCATCGTAGAGACTCACCCCGGCTCCGATGGCCTTGTAAGGGTAGTCACGCTACGCACTGCGAACTCAGAATTGCGCCGACCAATAGTACAGGTATGTCGATTGCCTATCCCGTTCGACCGCGACGATACTGACTGTAAGTAGCGTGTAAATCATACTATGTACTTGTACCCAGACTCCGATAAATTCAAGGACCAAGTCTCTCGTTTGCCACGTCTTATGTTGCACCCGGAGAGTGCAAGGCGGGCGGTATGTTCGCGAGCAGCAGTGCGAACCTTCTAGAAGCATCAAGGCCTTGTCGAAGGACATAGTCAGCCGGTAATTGTTGATGCCGATGATCAAAACATTGGCCTACATGACAAACAGCATTGTTTGCACAGCAACGACGTTCGCACTGCTGGTCGCTCCTGATAGGCCTAATTAGATCGCGAGATCTATTGACAATTGTCATTCGTGGATCCATCTCCTTTTCGTTAGAAAAGGACCAACGTTCCGGAGCGCGCTCCGAACGAGAGACCAGTCAGTCGAATGCGGGAAACGTGCGAGCGAGTATTAAGTCGTGT